ACACACACACACACACACATACAGCTGTCTGCACACACACACACACAGCTGTCTGCACACACACACACACACACATACAGCTGTCTGCACACACACACACACATACAGCTGTCTGCAAACACACACACACACACACACACACACACCTACAGCTGTCTGCACACACACACACACACACATACAGCTGTCTGCACACACACGCACGCACACACACACACACACACATACAGCTGTCTGCACACACACACACACACACACACACACAGCAGCTGTCTGCGCAGACACACACACACACACAGCAGCTGTCTGCGCAGACACACACACACACAGAGCAGCTGTCTGCGCAGACACACACACACACACACAGCAGCGGTCCGCACACACACTAACGGCGTTTCTGGGTGTGTTAGTTCTGTGCCAACGATCCAGAGGTGTTCCTTCAGGCGGCTTTGCTGGCCCAGGACTATTGTGACGCCATCGACCTCAACCTGGGCTGTCCGCAGATGATCGCTAAGAGAGGTACCGGCCCTTCTGGCTCTGCTGGGTCAGGCGGGAGTCACACCACATAAAGCAACTAAACGGTGGTGCTGTTTTTAAGGACACTATGGAGTGTTTCTGCAGGACGAGTGGGACTTGTTGGAGAGGATGGGTAAGTCTGTGGCCTTGTGTTCCATAACTGACAAATGTCATCCTGTTTTAGTTCATATGAAGGCTTTTCACTGTGGAATCAACATAAAACTTCCTGTTATCTGTCAGTCAGGCAAGCCAATGAAAAGCTCTCTGTGCCCATCACCTGCAAGATCCGGGTGTTCAAGGAGGTGGAGAAAACCGTGTGCTATGCCCAGATGCTGGAGAAGGCCGGATGCCAGGTGAGAGCTGAGTTGTCCCTCAGCTGAGTCCAGTTCCCACGCCTCCGTGACGGCGTGTGAGTGATGGACGCTCCTGTGTCTGCCCAGCTCCTGACGGTGCACGGCCGGACTAAAGATCAGAAAGGAGCCCTGACGGGCATGGCCAGCTGGGAGCACATCGGGGCCGTGCGGTGAGCTCCCACACAGCCTGTGCCCTGGCCCCTCAGCCTGAGGGTTGTTAGATGTGTGCTGTGTTTGCTGTGCCCCAGGAGGGCCGTGAGCATCCCCGTGTTCGCCAACGGAAACATCCAGCACCTGAGCGACGTGGAGCGCTGCATCCAGGAGACGGGGGTGCAGGGGGTGATGAGCGCAGGTAGGAGCTCACACCCCACGGGTCCATTCCTGTGGATGCCGACAGGGTTGCTATGGCAACCGGGGTGTCACCTTGCCTCTGCTTCCCTTTGCCCTTACCCAGAGGGGAACCTGCATAATCCAGCGCTGTTCGAGGGCCGCAGCCCCCCGGTGTGGGAGATGGCCGAGGAGTATCTGGAGGTGGTGAACCAGCACCCCCCCTGCTCGCTGTCCTATGTGCGGGCCCACCTCTTCAAGCTCTGGCACCACACGTATGTGTAGCTACTCAGGGGGTGTGTGTGAGGGCTGAATTCAAGCCAGGGCAGATGAAACGGTCAGTCCAGCTGTGTTCGGGGGTTGTCTGAAACTAAAAGCAGCATGCTGACCGGTGGACACCTGCTGAAGCCATTAGTTGTATTTATCTGTCATCAAATCACTCCAGATGTAGTTGTGTCCACTCACACAGGCGTGTGTGTGCATGGCTCTCTGCTTCACACACAGACGGGAGCAGGTGGACCGGCCTGTCTGAGGCAAGGCCTCGAAAACCTTTCTCTAGTCATCCCAAGCTGGGGGATTGTTTTGCTACTGCAGCATGAAACACAGACTAACAACAGCAATATGTAGAAAATCAGCATCAGGAGCTCTGAATGGTTTTAATTGGCCGATAAAAAGCACTGTTCACACCACTTTAAGATAGATTCACTCTGCCTCCAGTCCCTCCGAACCGGCCGTCTCCAAAGCGGGAGGCCAGGCGCTAGCCGTTCCTGTACTTTCACGTGTGCTTGTTCTGAGCTGTGTGCATGTGGTCTGGGTTTAGTTTGCAGATCCACCAGGACCTGAGGGAGGAACTAGCCAAAGTGAAGACTCTGCAGGCCTTGGCTGAGGTCAGCAGGCACCTGAAGCAGCGCTGCCAGGTAAAGCCTGTGGCCTGCTGGCCTCACTGGTTAAGTCCCGCCCTCCTGGTGACTGCACCAGCCACATCGCTCAAATACGGCACACCTGGACAACTCAGGCTCAGACTGTGTTTGGGTGAGACCTTTGTGTGTTTGTACAGGAAGAGATGGCCAAAGCACAAGGTGTGGAAGAGAAAGAGGGAGGCCTGCCTTTCCCTCACTGGATCTGCCAGCCGTATGTCAGACCAGTGTGAGTCACGCCGGGCTGGCCTTTTGTTCCACACACAGTTTCATCCATTATTGCTTCTTCTTCGTCCTTTTCCACTGAGAATCCGGGTCCTACATTGTGTATCTGCTGGGGTCCTCGGTCCTAAACCTCTTCATGAGCACAATGTACTTTTCCTGTTGTGGCTTTGGGGACAGACCAAAGCAGCCTGGGGTCAACAGCACGGGTCAGAACTCAGAGGGGAAGAAGACGGGGAGCCAGAAGAGGGCGCTGGAGGATCTGGATGAAGCCGCCGACAACCTCTCCAAGAACCAGCAGAAAAAAAGATCCCGCAACCCCCACAAAAATTTCTGTCCTGAACAGAAACGTGAGTTGAACTCTGCCTGGCTCTTTTCCAACGGGGCTCTGTTCAGAGAGTAAGTGTCCTCTTTCTCCTGCAGCAAAGTACCTGAAATGTGAGCAGTGTGGCAACCCAAAGGTAAGCACAGGCAGGAGGGCCTGGACCGGCCGGTGTCCCTCACTCACCCACAGATCGTTAGACCAGCCATCAGGATTATTTGTAACTCAGAGAACTTGATGTTTTTCTCTTTTTTTGCTCTCCAGGGAAATAAGTGTGTGTTCAACCTCTGCCGGGGCTGCTGTAAGAAGAAGGCGTTCAAAGAGGTGGCAGACTGTCCAAGTCAGTACACACACACACACACACACATCCATCCGTCAGATTGTGTCATGTGCTCTCTGTGACCCATCGGATTTTTGTTCCTCCTAAACAATACCTCAAATATTTCTCTTTAAAACTGAAATACAGAAAGGAAAAAAGGAAAAAAGCAGTGTTGCTTATTCCAGTGTTGTACATGACTGAAGACGGCTAAACTAATTCTGTGATATGCAAAAAGCAAACGTTAAACATTACTCATGTCAGGATGAGCCGCTGGATCCATATTAATGGAGAAAACTAAAAAGAGAAGTTCCGATTTTGAGTGAGTTAAAAGTCTCATTTGGACTAAACTGACTCTTGTCTCTCCAGGCCACGGGCTGAGGTTCAAGACCAAAGCGGAGAGATGGAAAGCTGAGAAAGACGGCCAGATGGAGGGGAAAGTGTCAGAGAGCCTGGTACCAAAGTCGGGAAAAGGCAGCTGCAACTCTTCCCAGCCTGACCCGCTCACAGTTCACAACTCAGAGTGCCTGGGGGAGTCCAAAGACTAATGCTCGCTCTCTGTGTGTGATGGGCCTACTGCTTTCTCCTGCTTATGGGGTGTGACAGTAACACATGTGGGACATTCTGGGATCAAAATGCTGGGCTCAGGGGAGCTGATGAGCTGTGTTGTGTGTAAAGATGACTGCAGCTTACCGGTGGATGGAGCCTGTTATCATTTACAGCATCACTTCCAGTGGCAAGGAGGATGCCAGGCACAGGCTGGTTATTCCCAGCTCCAGGGCTCATGGATTCAGCAGGCCTTTGCTCAGCCAATGAGTAGTCAGCACATTTTAAAGAGTAGCCAGGGGCTGTGTGTGTGTGTGAACAACTACCACCAATAAACAACCAAAGGCTGTACAGCAGACAAACGTTTTTTCATGGCTTCATCTGTTGGTCCAGATGATTTCTGTCAACACACGGCTGGTCAGAGCGGGCCCTGGACTCTCTGTGGTCCAAAGATGCATGGAAACAGCTGTGCACAGGTACACACCGGAGGTTTGGTTAAACGGGCAGCTGTGGCTGCAGGCTAAAACTGGGACTGACCCTTTACCGGCTGACTGGTCCAAAGTTTAGCCCCGCTTTGTGGATTCACGCCTGCTTTGAACAGATTCTTTGACAGTGCTCATGGACAGCCCCTTAAGCTGATATGTTGTCACCGTGTCATCTCTGTGTTAGCCACATTCACTAAAGAGATCCAACAGGGGGCCTTCCTCAGTAGACTGTTGAGGTCTCGTGCATCACGTACAGCTCAACATTCTCAGAAAACAGACAAACGTTTTCCGTCAGCAGGTTTTTAAACCATTACTAAATGATTTAGAAAATAAAGAAGAGATCTGAGAGGTGAATCCCCCTATGGCCTAAATGCAGCTGGGATAGGCTTCCCACCAGCCTACTGGGAGCAAGCTGTGGGTCATTTAGCTAAATAAAGCTGTGCTGCTACGATCTCTCCACAGAGAAAAGGCTTTGGTAAGCAGCTCAAACAAACAAACCGTACTTGTTCAGCCTTTTTTTAACTATACCATCGTGATCTTTGACCTTTTACCTGCTGACTGAGGCTGTGGAGATAAATGTAACGGCCATGTTTGCATATCACCCTAACCAAAGTAAAAAAGGGAAAGTAGACCACCTCCCAATGTATTAGTAAAGGTGGTAAATATAAGAGCAGCCATCGAAAATCCTATTTTCATCCCCAAATTTCAGCCAACTCACTGGACTTCTCTGAGAAGTAGACATGCTTCAGGTGGAATATTCAGCCACTAAAACAATCGTTTCTGTTCACGAATGCAGGTAAATACATTGGACCTGACATCTTAATCAAGAAACAATAATGTTCTTTTTTAATCTTTTAGTGATCATTATATTTGAAAATGCATTGATAACAATCATCTGTTAGTGCTTAGCTGAAGAGCTTCTCCATACTTGCACACAAACTAATGATCTTACCAGAACACATGAAGACCTACCAAGGCTCCTCATTTTGTGAGGCACTGAACCCTAGCAAATAAGCTAAAGTTTCTGTAATGAAAGAGTTTTACAATGTATAACTTAAAGTTAATATGAAATACCCTTCATGCTGCCAGAATACAGGCACTGGCTGTATTACTATCATTCTAATATTAATAACAAAGCCACCATTACCAGTCAGACATTTTGATGAGGAACAGTTGTTTGTTAAGGCCCATTAATCCCATGAATGTGGATGTCTGACTATTTCAGTACATTTGTTCAGCTCATTGTACCTATGATCCTAAATTCTTGATATTTCGATAAGTTATTCTCAACATTACTTTTTACTCATCAGTAGATATGAATAAATACTCTGGCAGGGGGGGAACCTTGGTGCTTAGCTCCGTTTCCACCGGAAGTCAATAGCGTGAGCACCAGGAGTGCTGTAGGCGCAACAAACCGGAGTCTGACAGCTAGGTCCGTCCATAAGTCTACGGTCTGACAGCAGAGCCACGGCCTCCGCGGGCCCCCTCCGCGGACTGGGGACGTGTCCAGAGCCCCCGGGAGACATGGAGGAGCCCAGCGGCCCCACGGGGTCTGCCCCGAGCCCCGGGAGCCCCGGTGGGTCACGCGCCTGTTTCCACGCACGGTGCGCAGGTGCCCCTCGGCTCACTAACGCCTTGTCCCGTGATTTGTAGGTCACTGGCGAAACTGGAGTGGGTTTTGGTGAGTGGCCGTCGTTCCGGGGGGGGGAGGCCGGGGACGATGTCCCTGTCAGACGGGCTGAGCCCGCACAGGGCCGCGTGACGGCCGCTGGTCGCTGCTCCGGAGCCCTGCGGACCAGGGTTAGGGTTAGCCCTCATCTGCGGGCTGCTCAGCCCCCGGGGGGGGCCAGGCTGCGGCAGTGAGGGGGTTTCCTCTCCGTGGGCAGCTTTTGGGTGGGCTGCCTGCAGCCTGCTCCTTTTTCTAACCGGCTGTGTGTTCTCTCAGGATCCTCGGACTGTGTAACAACTATGCTTACGTTGTCATGCTGAGTGCTGCCCATGACATCCTGGAAAAGCAGGAGTCCAGAAACTCCACAGCAGCAGTAAGGAGGCACCCCCCCCCCCCCCCCCAGTGTCCACCCTCCGTTCACAGCTGGCCCTCCCCCAGTGGCTCCAGGTCCAGCTGTGACCGCCTGCCTCCCTTTCCTCTGCAGGCTTCAGCTCCTGGAACTGAGCGCCAAGAGGGCAACAACAACCCCAACGGCAGCAGCCCCTACGACTGCAGCCCCGTGTCCACCGGGGTAAAGGCCGCTTGCCACACAGCCCGCCACGCAGCCCGCCATGTAGCCCGCCACACAGCCCGCCACAGTGGGAAGCAGCCCTGTTCTGAACTTTGTCCGACCAGGCTGCAGAGCCATTGGGTCAGGACAGACCCAATGAGATGGGGGATGTGTACCTGGATACAAAGAGTTCTGAAACCAGTCAAAACGACACACATTAGCAGCTGAAGCTACGTAGCTGCAGTGAGAAGCCGTTGGTCCCCCCCAGCAGGGCCATAGCCAGCTCGGCCTTTTCATTCCCAGGTTAAAGTGTCTGTGTGTGTGTCTGCAGGCGGTGCTGCTAGCTGACATCCTGCCTACACTCCTCATCAAACTGGTTGCTCCCTTTGTGGTCCACAAAGTGCCTTATGGGTAAGAGTCTGTGGGTCCTATCACTGACATTTGGACTGGTCTGTTTTGGATGCGGAGGACAGAGGATGAGGGGTGCTGTCTGTGTCTGTCTGCAGGCTCCGCGTCTTGTTCTGTGCCTTCATGGCAGCCAGCAGCTTCCTCCTGGTGTCCTTCTCCTCTGCCATGTGGATGAGCATTCTGGGTAAAGCTGCCCGACTGCTGCCTTGGTCCGGGCTCAGGGAGGGTTTGGATGATGAGTGTGATAGGGTCTGAGACCTTTGGCTCAGTTCCACTTCCTCTCTGGTGTGCTGAGGTTGTTCCACAGGAACCTGCTTCAGTTTCAGTGTAGTGACGCTGCCAGGGTTTCTGTCCAGTATCTCACGCACACTTAGGGAGAAGCCATCTGATCCGAGGGTCTGCACAGCCCCTCCCCACAGGCAGCTCATCTCTCTCCTCTGGTCTGTAGGAGTGGTGTTTGCCAGCGTCAGCTCTGGACTGGGAGAGCTGTCCTTCCTCTCGCTCACAGTCTTCTTCAGCAGGTAAGCACAGAGCAGCTTCCTCTGGGTGGCTGCTCTTCCTGTGGCCCTGAACACTGGCTCTCTTCTGGCCTAGAACCGTGTTGGAGGGTTGGGGCTCTGGCACTGGTGGGGCAGGGGTTGCTGGCTCCTTTCTCTACTCCAGCCTCATCCAGGGTGGCCTCACCCCCAGGGTGACTCTGCTCATCATGCTGGTGGTCCCATTGGCTATGGTAGTTAGGTAAGTGACCTGAGAGCTGTTCATTGGTTACCGCTGTGTGAGTGTGTGATAAAGAACATCTGCTCCTGAGGAGAACTGCGTTGTTTCACTGCCACTAGTGAATGAGGCATGTTTGTGTCCACTAGCTATTTTGGCATGCTGGTCCCCGAGCATCCGCTGCCCCAGTGGAGGAGGGCGGACGCTGACCGCTGGGCTGTGGGCTGGGAGGAGAGGCAGAGTCTCACGCAGGGAGCAGAACAGGAGGAGCCTGAGGAGACATCAGGCCCAGGTAAAGAGAGCTCACCACATTTACCAGCATGACATCCAGCTGCAGGAACTTTCACAGCTGCTGGCAAAACCCCGGAACAGCAGTCCCCCTGTTCACAGTTCTTTATGCCTTCTGCTTTACAACGATCCACCCCGGGGGACACGTGCAGGAACTATCAGCTATGAGCTGTAATCCACAGTTGTGATGGGGCTATATCAGTATATTATTTCCAGCTGTGATCTGATCAGATGATTATGAAAATGATAGAGAAAACAGCTTAACTTTTATTGGACAATGGTGAGAATGAAGAGTTTTCTTGTGTTGGGAGTTTTATCTTAAGTGTGTGTGCGTCAGACGTTTGGTCTTTTTTCCAGAGACAGTGATGGAATCTGCTACATCTCCCATCCACTGAACATCCACTTATCATTTCTGTGTTGATGCAGACCTAAGATCATTCAGAATGGGCCAACACTCCCACTCCTATCAGAAGTAGACCTCCACATGCTGCTCAAAGTTCAAATTCAGTTATGTGTGGAAACATTCAAACCCACTGTGTGTTCTGGGTGTGTCTGGCTATTCCCTGAGCTCTGACGCACACACAGGGACATGGGACTGACTTCGGAGACCAGCCAATAGACAGCCAAAAGGCAGCAAAGTGGAGAACTGAGCTCTAGAACCTGGTCAGGCTCATCAGTGACAGTCATTCTGGACTTATTTTACTCCTGACTGTCTTAAGAGGCCACCTCCCTGCCCTGGTCAGATGGAGCCAGGTGTTTCCAGAGGCCCTCACTGGGAGCCTAACTCAGGTCTGAATCACATGAAATGAAATCCAACCTAAATTAAATATGTCACCTAAGGGTTTGAGTGGGGTTTTGTTTGGCCACACAACCAACTCTGGCAAGGAGAACATCTCAGAGCATTTTAAAGTAAAAAAGATTGTCCTCCTGGGCTGGCTGTAGTCACAGAGAAAAAGTTCCCCTCTGTGGTGAATGAAGTATCAGTGGGGTTAAAATGAGCGCCACCAAACAACAGGCATGGAAGGCTGCCATGAAAACAGAGAAAACCACGTCCTTACCTCCTCCAAGCCCTCTCAGGAGACGAGTCCAGTAGACACATGTGGAAGACGTCCATGTTTTCTGAAGCCCCCTCTCTGTTTGCCTGTCTCTCTATTCCCTGGCGTCCCCGGCTGGGCAGCAGAGGACGGACCCGGAGGAGCCCTTAGCTTCTCAGAGAGGCTGCATGTCATCAGGGTAAGGGTGCTCCGGCTGGCCTGCAGTCCTGCTGCTCAGGCCTCAGTGACCCTGCTGACTCCTGTCCCCAGGGCCTGCTCAGGTTTGTCCTCCCTCTGGGCCTGGTCTACTTTGCAGAGTACTTCATCAACCAGGGCCTGGTAGGTGCTGCAGACTCTTCTGGCCGCACACAGACTTGTCCACCGTCTGCAGCCTAGAATAATGTGGGGCTCTTTGCTTTCTCAGATGGAGATCCTGTTTTTCCACAACTTTTTCCTCTCCCATGCGGAGCAGTACCGCTGGTGAGTTCCCTGTTTCGGACACATTATGCTTTGAGAACCATGCCTTTCTATTTTTCAGTGGTTGTGTGCCTTTGTTGCTTGTCTCTGTGCTCAGGTACCAATGTCTGTACCAAATTGGAGTGTTTCTGTCTCGATCTTCCCTGCGCTGGATAAAGATCAGGAGAATCTGGGCTCTGGCTCTACTGCAGGTAAAGTCCTACACGTGCCACCACTGTTGAGACCATTTTAGTGACTCCATCTGTCCCATCAAGCCGAGCCAATGTGGATTCGGTAGCCGAAGAGCCTCTCAGAGTTATCCCGTTGTTTCTACATGAAGACAGCCTGCTCCTGTATGATAAAGATCTGCCCGCACATCCATCCCCACACAGCAGGAAACTGAGCATCTGCAGGGTTATGGAGGGAGCTCCAATCATGTATGCAGCAGCAGCTAAAACAACGCTATGCTTTCCAAGATGCCGCACCCACGCAGTCTGGACAAACTCCTAGAGATGAAGCCAGAATATGTGTCAGTGAGTAGTGCAGTGTGGTGCCAACATCTCCAAAAAACCTACACCCGAAGACCGAGGACACACTTTTTTTTTTTTTTTTTTTTGTAAAGATTTTTTTGGCTCTAGTGGCCTTTAATGACAGTAGCTTGACAGGAAAGGGGGCAGAGATAGAGAGGGGGAGACCTGCGGGAAAGGGCCGTGGGCTGGATTTGAACCCAGGCCGCCGGCTTGCGAGCAGAGGCTCTGTATATGGTCCACCCGCTGTAACCGTTAGGCTACAGCTGCGGCCCCCGAGGACACACTTTGAGAGCATTTACTGTGAGTCGGTGTGCTTCCGGAGCAAGACTGGTTAGTTTCAGAGGAGGACACCCCTCTCTGGACCTCCGGTTGGCGTGAGGGCAGAGGCCGTGGTGTCCCTGGAAACGGGGTGTGACTGTTGCAATGCCTGCCTCTCCTCCTTGGACAGGTGGTGAATGCAGTGTTTCTTCTGCTGGCTGCTCGCTACCAGTTCCTGCCCAGCGCCTGGCTCGTGTTCGCCATCATTCTTTATGAGGGTCTGCTAGGTGGAGCTGCCTATGTCAACACCTTCCACTTCATTAGCAAAGAGGTCTGTAACTCATACATATGCCTCAGATTCCACACTGGACACAACATCCATGTAGCAGACATGTTTCCTTATCATTGGGATGGATGGCTGGTTTCCTGCTATTGTTGAAGGGACTCTTAGCCAGATGCTTAGCCTGTGAGCCAGTGGCTGAGCGTGCCATGCAACAGGGTCTGACTGCCTCAGTATCTGACATTTGAAAGGTGTTTGCTCTTCCACAGACGGACTCCAGACACAGGGAGTTTGCCATGGCTGCTGCCAGCGTGGGAGACAGTCTGGGAATAGCTCTGGCTGGACTGGCAGCCTTTCCCACCCATGGATACTTCTGCTCCCTGTGACGGGCCTACAGACAGCTGTCAGACTCTGCTCCCCTCCGGGCTGCAGGTTTTAGAGGTTTTACCTGTTTCATACACCTGATTCACATCAGAGAGCCATCAGCAAAGCTCAAGATCCAGTTTAATCACAACCAGATGTGATGAAGCGGGAACACCTCTAAACCCCGGAGAGGACCGGAGCAGGACAGCCCTGACCTACAGCATGCATTATTTTAGTTTCTGTTCAAATGGGGACATTCCTTCTGAAAAATCATTCCAACTTCTGCTTTTAATCAAGCTTTTTTAGTAGCATGTAAGTATAATTTTGTAGCGTTTATTGGGTGAGATGCACGGGCCACCCAGGACAGTTTGTGTATTTCTCATGTTAATTACATGTTTCAAGTGTTCCACCTCTAAGTATAACTAAATTATGAAACAACTGTGGTAATAATGAGTGAAGCCACCTGGGGCATATTTGACCTGTTAGAGATATTCAACAGATCGTTTACAGGAATACGTATTATGACTACCCTGATTTTCATGCTCCAAGAAGTCAAAAAAGAAGGAGTTTCTGTTTGCTGCAGAGGATCTACACAAACCAAAGACTGGTCCAGATGGGTGAGCTTTCACCCGGGCCAGGACTTCCTCTTTTTAAGTGCCTTTCTTTAGAATGTGCTCCACTTTAAACTTGGGATGAGGGGATCAAAACCTTTTTCTCTTTTTTTGTGAATCGTTTTTGTCATTTTAGCACTCATCAAAACAAGAATGTTTAGAGGTTTAAGGAGCTTTTAATAAGCCACAATCTCGAGTTTTAAGAACCTTTAAAGGAATACGACATAGGTCTCTTTATTGTTTAACTACAACTATAGCTTGTTATAAATTCTTCATAAGGCAAGTCCATAGAGCTTGATTTGCTTCCTCTGAAGCAGGTTGTGTATTAATGTGCACGTTCTACTGACATTTTAAACAAATTGTGAAACAGTCAATTTGTCAATGTTTTGTAAAGACTTTGTTGCTTAAGTTTGTGTTTTTATTGGAGAGAATTACTCTGAAAATAAAGACCATGTATTTTTGTGAACTGAGTTTCTTTTTCAGTGTTCAATCAATGATCCTGAAATATTGTGGGGGTCATCCAGGTTGTATTCAGCTCAGCTTATTTGTATAGCATTGAACCACAACAAATGTCCTCTGGAAATGTCAAAGATACACGCCGATTAGAGTCCATTTCATTGATTGTCCAGTTCTTTAATTCCAAACCAGTCCAGTTCCTACAGAGTCTGTTTGAAAAAGCCTTCCTCTTAATGGGAAACACATCAAGATACTCATCACCAGAGGACGTCACACTGCGTCTCTCCTGTACGCCGTCATGTCTAACATGTTGTCAGATAAACCCCTTTTTCTGCTTTAAAGTTATGCTGGAAGGACATTCATTTGATTTATTATGTTTTAAAAAGGAACAAGTGGTTTTTTAGCATGTTTGGCACTTTAAGTTTAGTTCATAAGTTTAAAATGTTATTTCAAATTCAAGCCAGTTCAAAGTTCACTTCATCTGAGATTTTTCTTAGGTTAGAAACCAAAGGTCAGTACGTAAATACATATATTTCAAGACTAAATCTGTTTTGGGGGGGGGGGGGTTGTTAAAAAACCAGTCAGATTGATGGATTTCTGTTCTCCATTAGGCCAATAACTGAGCTTTGAGGACTCATCTGTAACAAAACTGATACAATTGAAGAGCTGTGGCAACAACGTTTTCCAGGTGTTTTTTTCGTCCTTCCTCTTGGTTCTTCAGCAAGAGGAAAATGGACTTTAATCTGATTTAATTGAGTTCGTATTACATTCAACAGGACCATAACTGCCCTTTATATCTTTACAGTGCACACAGGACAGAGTTATTCCGTTATTGCTCTGATAAAATGCTTTTGTGATGACTTGACTGTGCTTTTTTCGCACAAACGTTTTTAAGTGGGACGGGAAAGCATGAAGTGGTCTCTGTGGCAACATGACCGTCTATAAAACGAGTGGGCGCTCCGAACAGTGTGAGCCTGCTGCTTTTCAGCTCTTATTTATGGTCAGACTCACGTCGTCTGCTCCGTTTTTCAAGCTGCTGACGTCTGCGGGGTTTGTCGGAGGCTGGACGGAGCCAGCACTGAGCCGGGAGCTTTGCATTGGAGCGGTGCTCGCACCGGAAGTCGCAGTTGTTTAGCGCAGCAGGAGCGAACCGGCAAGCCGACCGGCGAGAGAGGGGAAGCTGGTGATCCAACGGCCAGAGACACGAACTGCCTCGGAATGAAACGTTGATGCCTGCCTCAGCCTTCTCCTGACACAGTAATTATTTTGGTTCATTTAGATGGGACGCCTGGTCGGTTTATTATGAGTCCGTGAGCAGCGTTAGCCGCCTCGGGCAACGGTTTAGCCGACAGGCTAGTTAGCTAAACAGTTTAGCTAACTGGCTCTAACGCCGTGTCAAGCAGTTGGCCGAGCTCAAACTGCTCAAGTGCTGTGGTTTGTCTGGCAAAATGCACCTTCTGGTATAGTTCTTATGGCTGTTAAATGAGTACAGGATCTTCCCATCGATGTGAACGTTTTTGGGCCAGTTCCCAAACAAAATGGTTGGCTGAGTTACCAAACCATCGATGCTAAGCTGACGTCGTTAGCGGTGATGTAAGCTAACATGCTAGCGGCTAGCTTGCGTAGCGGTACACCCCTAGGCCTCGGATTCCTCGTCAAACAACGTTAGTTCTCGGCGATTTTATGTTTCCTATCCACAACCAGGTACTTTAACAGTGATCAATTTCTGTTTGGAGATTGACGCTATTGGTAAGAGCTATTCTGCGGAAAACTGGATGCATCTTATGACCCGGGACAGGCATTTTGTGTCAGCGCGATGTTAAGTTGTTTGTCCCGATGGCCTGACTGCTGTTTTCCCTCCACAGTTCCTTATTCTGTGACACCTTTACTGCAACAGCGGCCATCCAGAGAGGCTGAGCCCCATCTAATCTCTGAGAGGAGCAGTGGTCCATCGCTGGGGAGGAGACCCTTACCGTAGCCCGGTCCGGAGAGGAGAAGTGTGTGAAGAGAGCTTGGCCAGCCCTCTCTATGTGTGTGACAATGGGGGACATCAGCGACCTGGACCGGCAGATAGAGCAGCTCAGACGCTGTGAGCTCATTAAGGAAAACGAAGTCAAAGCCCTGTGTGCCAAAGCCAGGTACTGGATCCAAGCCTCCTCGGTTTTCATACAGGTTTCATAAGGCTCACAGAAAAGCCCAGCCATTTTCACTAAAGTGATTTCATTTTATAGATAAATGAGCATCACGTGTACGGTTAGGCTGGAGCTTCTGTCCATTTCCCTGAGGGCTAAATCCGTTTATTGTACCAAACTCGGTGCTTTCTCATGTGCCTTTTAAAGTTGTCCCGCAGTGAAGTTATCTGTGTAAAACAGATGTGTGAACATACTTCCTCACTTTGGGATCCATATCAGCCACCTGTGAATTTCTTCAGCCGATATGACACAGGAGGAGCCAGAGCTCTAAACGTGCCTTCGATGGTTTTAAGATAAGACATCAGATGTGATAAACTACCATCAGTGATGGTAACCTCAGAGAGCCAAAGTCTGTCCCTGTGACAGAGGAGAGAGCTGGTAGACATGGTTCCCACTGCAGGGGGACGGGAAAGGCTCTGTGAGCACAGCTTTGGTTTGACAGGGCCTTGCATCTCTTCCTTGTGATATGATCATGGAGAGCCTAGGTAGTACAGCAGAGCAGTGCGATGTGCTGCCCATAGAACATTTAGGCTGAGACCTTTTGTCTTTTGTGTGTTCTTTCAGAGAGATTCTGGTCGAAGAAAGCAACGTTCAGAGAGTGGACTCTCCTGTCACAGTAAGTTACGCCTTCACACCGTTCCTGGCTTATCGTCGACCAAAGTTCAGCCAGATGACGAGACTGTTGTTGTGTGGTTGTCTTGCAGGTGTGTGGTGATATTCACGGTCAGTTTTATGACTTGAAAGAGCTTTTTAGGGTAAGTTCCTGCTCATCATTCTGCATTTGCTCCTCATGCTCATCGTGTTTCTTGGCTCTCCCTAACCTCGTCATCTTCGGATGACCCATCCCTGCTGGGGGGCTTTTCTGGGCCACTGAAAGCACCTTTTCTCTGGTTATTTCTGGTGGAGGCTAGTGGATGCCAGCTGCGTGCTGATGTTGGGAAGCAGCCCTGTAAGCCGGCTGTGGCTCCAGCCCTCTGTTTGTGTTCAACTCCAGGGGGTGATGACACAGATTCCTGTTTTTGGATGAGAGCTGACAGGAGCAGGCTTAAGTCTGAGGCTTTACTTTTAACCAGGATCCAGGTGCTTTTTGTTGTCAGGGCCAGCTCTGTGCAGGGAAATGTAGAGTTCCACTGTGAAGGGGGGGCTGAGTCTGGTTACAGACAGAACTGTCAACAGGCACAACCACACAGAGCTGCAGACCTCTTCCCCTCCTCTCAAAGTGATCAAGAAAGCCCTGTCTAGTCTGATCCAAACAAAGTTTTTATTAGGTTGGCTTTTTAAAAATGGATGTTTTTAGGCTCTGTTTTGGTCCCCCAACATTGTTTTTAATGTGTTTCCGATAACAAAAAAAAGGCCAATCTGTTTGCTGCTGTGGACATTTCCACACATGCATAATCAATAACAGATGAACTGCCCAGAGCAGCCTGACAGGCCGGCCCACCCCCGTGTGACCCACTCTGATGGGGCCTGCAGAGAAAGCCACAGGACTCACTGCCCTGGGCCTGATGGAGCCAAGAGGCTGCGTATGTATGAGGCTAGTGTTTAAAGGCCTCCGCCGGCAGAGAGTAGGTGAAAGTGGCCCCTTTGGACCGAGCTGGACACTAAAGCATGAATGCAGCCTGTCCCGAACGTGGAATGCTCCCCTGTTGTGTCTCATGAGGAGCTGGTCCCAGCTTTCCTGAGCTTCCTGGTAGCAGAAGCTTGTAGCGTGACATCTGAACCCGATGGGGATGAGGATTTCCTGATGGCTGACGGCCAAGCACAGAGACTGGAATCTGGAGAAGAAGAGCTGCTGCCACTGAAGCCTGATTTCCACTTTCCACCCCACAGGTGGGGGGAGACGTCCCAGAGACAAATTACCTCTTCATGGGTGACTTTGTGGACAGAGGCTTTTATAGTGTGGAGACCTTCCTCCTGCTGCTAGCTCTAAAGGTAACGATGAGAGCATGTGTGCCAGCTGCTCAGAAGCGGCTCCCTGTGGCTGCTGACAGTCTTGAGCTGACATGTGTCACTGCTCCCCTCAGGTCCGTTATCCAGACAGGATCACTCTGATTCGGGGGAACCACGAGTCCCGGCAAATCACCCAGGTCTATGGTTTCTACGACGAGTGCCTCAGGAAGTATGGCTCCGTCACAGTGTGGAGATACTGCACAGAGATATTCGACTACCTGTCTCTGTCTGCTATCATCGATGGCAAGGTGAGGCCAGGCCAGCATCCCCATCAGTTAGTGACAGCTCCTTTCCCAGAGGCCCTTCAGTCCTGGATGAACCTCACAGGGGCGCTCTACAGCCCAGCTGTCAGACTCTGCTCCTTTTTTAGCCGCTGTCCTGCAGGTTTTAGAGTTTTTCCCTGTTTCACACACCTGATTCACATCAGAGAGCCATAAGCAAAGCTCAAGATCCAGTTTAATCAGAACCAGGTGTGTTGAAGCAGGAAGACCTCTGACACCTGCAGGACAGCGGCCCAAAGGGGACCGGACAGCCCCGCTCTAAACGCTGTCAGCTGAACGGTGGCTTCTCCTTGAACCTTTCAGATCTTCTGCGTGCACGGCGGGTTGTCTCCTTCCATCCAGACTCTGGACCAGATCCGGACCATTGACAGAAAACAGGAGGTGCCCCATGATGGGCCCATGTGCGACCTCCTGTGGTCAGACCCTGAAGGTATGTGCAACGTGCTAGCAGAGGGTTTACCATTAAGGCTTTAACATCCAGCTAGAACACAGATTTCACAGCTAGCATCCACTGATGCTACACGCTAACAGGAAAGAAGAGACTTTAGGAGCAGAGACACTCTGAGTCTATCTATTCTCAGAATCAGCTTTATTCGCCTGTAAGCCGGCCAAGTATGTGACCATACAAGCAATTTGACTCCACAGAATTTGACTGCAGGGGCAGCCCAATGGAGCTGCCCCTTTCCTACATAAAAAAGAAAAGACAACTTTGGGGGAGGAGTTGGGGTGGGGGGGGGGGGGCACTGTCATGCCCCCTACAGGGAATGCAACAATAATCTGAAAAAAACACACCTCTGCACAAGTAAGCACAGATGCAGTCAGATCAAGGACATGCCTGGGGAGGAGGGAATGGGGGGTTGGAAGGAAACAGCAAGAGAGGGGGTCCAGGGGGGGGGGGTGGTCTGGATTTGTGTAAGTGTAAGCAGGCTGCAGTCCATATCCACAGGCTGGATGGAATTTGTCCTTGTGATGCCCATACTCCTGGTTTGGAAGGGGGGGGCAAAGCGTCTGTCTGCGGTTTCATCCAGGGCAAAGTTACTGAGCAGCAGCTGCAAGGCCGCTGTGGGGAGGCCAGACTGAGATAAGAGAGATAGCTTTGTCCCAGACAGAGCGTGTTTAGTCTGCCTTAAGTCCTCAGCAGGTCTCTCCATGAGGATTCCAGTTCAGCCCAATGGTGTTAGTTTCCCTCCATCCAGACCACCAACTTCTCCAGGGTGTTCCCCATCTCCCCACACAGCATTCACTTTTTGTCTGCTACAAAGTTTCAGTCCGAGTCTTGATGGCTCCCAATTCCCTTCAGCTTCCTAATTTTTTCAATAATGTGCCCCAATCAGCAGGAAACCGGTTCTAATGAATCCAAATAGGTATAGGTCCTCCACGGTAAGAGCTGAGAGGCATTAACCCCTCCACTTCCTCCAGGCATCCACTGAGTCCCCTGCAGGGTGAGTCCCGGCTGGACCAGACACTGCCCTGCTCACGGTCTCTGGGTAGAAAGTCAGTTCCGTTGAGAGACCAGCCGAACAAATCCAGGGTTGATGTCAGGCTTTAGGAATGGAAATGCAGGAAGAGGCTCTGAGATATGACAGGACAAAGAAAGCAAGCGGGCCAAAAAGAGCACTGGGGGGGGCAGAGAGGGACAGGTCTGCACCTGCCGTCAGTCTGTCCTCGGTCCATCAGTCTGTCCTCGGTCAGTCAGTCTGTCCCCAGTCCATCAGTCTGTCCCCAGTCCATCAGTCTGTCCTCAGTCCATCAGTCTGTCCCCAGTCCATCAGTCTGTCCTCGGTCCATCAGTCTGTCCTCGGTCCATCAGGCTGTCCTCAGTCCATCAGTCTGTCCTCGGTCGGTCAGTCTGTCCTGGCGAGCGCTGTCCTCATGCTCTTCCCTCTCCTGCCCCAGACACCACTGGCTGGGGGGTGAGCCCCAGAGGGGCTGGCTACCTGTTTGGAAGTGACGTGGTGGCTCAGTTCAACGCGGCCAACGACATCCACATGATCTGCCGAGCGCACCAGCTGGTGATGGAGGGCTACAAGTGGCACTTCAACGAGACCGTGCTGACCGTGTGGTCGGCGCCCAACTACTGCTACAGGTATGTGGAGGCTTAGGGTTAGGGCCCTCTGCTCCTCCTGAGCCCCGGGGTTCAAACCCTCTGTCTCCCCAACATCAGATGTGGCAACGTGGCGGCCATCTTGGAGCTGGATGAGCATCTACAGCGGGAGTTCATCATATTTGAGGCAGCTCCACAAGAGACCAGAGGGATCCCCTCCAAGAAGCCAGTGGCTGACTACTTCCTGTAAAAGTCTTTGTGCAGGCGGGCCGGCGGGCGGGCGGGGGGGCGCGACCTGTCAAAAACTGTGTACCATTTGATCCTGCAGCTGGACGGCTCTGCCAGGCTGGCTGTGAGCAGTAGGCAGAAAGCCTGCCCCCCCCCACCGGGCCCACAGCGTCAGCCTGGGGAGCCCAGCGCCTGATGCTGACAGCAGTCAACATGTGGGGGGGGCAGGCAGCAGCTGTGATGGCTACCTTATTTAGACCCTCACTCTGCCACCTTTTCTATCCCTCCTCCTCCCCGTGCTCTGTAGATACAACACTCTCCCTTCCAATTTGAATTTCACCACCTTTGTAGGATTTTTATATTAATATAATCATTTAGTTATACAGCTATTTTGAAGGATTAAGCTCTTCAGCTGTAAGAGGTTTTTCAATTGGGCCATTTTAAAGGATTCCTTTGTGGCAGGTGTTGCCTCTGACTGTACTCTGGCTGTCAGGATAAAAAGTGCATATGCTTTGGTTGGGCCGCCGGGGTCTGCTGCTCGCCCCCATCCCAGTGGAAGCAGCCCGGGGCTCCACACTCATCTTTTGCTTCTCTTAATTCCTTTTAATTCTAATTCTCTGTAGACCTGTCCATTTTGATATTGTGACAATAAAGTTTTTTTATCAATGTCGACTTGTTGGTGTAGTGGTCATTTTAATGGCGTGACATGGTTCAAAGGGCCAGACGTGAATTGAGAAAACGGTGATGATGCGTTGTGATGTCTTCCCTCCTCTCCCTGGCACGGGGCTCCCGTTAAAGCGGGCTGAAGCGGGCCAAAGCCCCGCTCTGTGCATGGGGTGGGCCCGGGGCCGGCCGGCGGCCCACGGCGGGCCTGCGACAGCCAATCACCGCCGCGCAGCCAGCCGCCGGAGCATGTCGGCTCAGGACTCACCGGACAAGTTCTCCAAACTTGTTTTTCAAGCTCGACTAAAAGCGTTCCTCCCAGTTCCGAGCAGCCCGTGAGGAGGAAACTGGAGCAGCACCCGGAAACGGGACCAGTCGGACCTGGCATTTGGAGAAAGCAGCTCGAACAGGTACGGAGCATCTGACCGGGCTGAGCGCTGCCTCCGCCGGGGGCCCGGAGCGGCCGGGGCCGGGGCCGGGGGGCCGCGGCGGGGCTTCGCTGGGCGGGCTGGGCTGTGGGGGCTCCGGGAGCTGTGGGGGCTCCGGGAGCTGTGGGGGCTCCGGGAGCTGTGGGGGCTCCGGGAGCTCCGGCCCCGCGGCGGACTCGGCGTTAGCTCGCTAGCGGCTATCAGCGGCGTCCCCTCCGGTGGTTTCTCCGGGATGTGGAGCCGTGGGGAACCTGTTGGTTCAGCTCCAGCGTGATAGTGGCAGAACTCTCTGGACACGATAGTTTCCCACCGGGGAGCTGCTCCTCTGGGGCCGAGTCCCCGAGAAAGGCGTGGCTGGCTCTACCGCAGACGATCCCCCCTGCGCCTCACCAGATCACCGTCCAGAGGAGCTCCTCCGCCGGCTGCAAAGCGCCGGCTGACCGGTCCGACCCGGGCTGACCGGTCCGACCCGGGTTGACCGGTCCGATCAGGGCTGAGCGGGCCGACCCGGGCTGAACCGGGCTCTGTGTTGCAGGTGGAAGATGGACGTGCAGAAGCAGGTGGTCAGCAGGCTGCGGGCAGCGTTCCAGGCCGGCGTCACTGCGCCGGAGGAGTTTCGGCGGGCACAGCTGACCCAGCTGGGGTCTATGATCCGAGACAACGAGGAGCAGATTGTGGCGGCGCTGCACAGAGACCTGGGAAAGGTAGGCTCTGCGCCCCCCCCAACAGCCGGTTCAGAGTTTCCTCACTTCTTAACGTGTGTGTCTGTCCACACCAGCCCAAGTTTGAGGCCATCCTCTCTGAGGTGGACATAGTGATGAACGAGCTGCACCACGCCATCTCCAACATGTCGGGCTGGATGCAGCCGGAGTACGTGCCCAAAAACCTGGTGAGTAGCCAGAAGGAGCCGGCCTCCCTTATGCTCCACTCGTGATTTAGAGAGACTGTGATGAGACAGAGGGGCTCAGAGGACTGGTTGTAAAGCTTCTTGTTACACATCTGAGTTGTGTGTATTTCTTCATTTCAGGCAACAAAGCTGGATGACTGTTTTGTCCAGAGGGAACCTTTAGGGGTGGTTCTGATCATTGGGCCGTGGAATTACCCTCTGCAGCTTCTCATTGCCCCCATGGTTGGAGCCATCGCTGCAGGTAGGCTGCATCTGCTGGTCCTGATTAGGGGAGATATGAGTAAGCCTTCCATCAGTCCTGAGTGTCTCTGCTTGATTTTCAGGAAACTGTGTGGTCCTCAAGCCCTCAGAGATCAGCTCTGCCACAGACAGTCTAGTGGCCGATCTCATCCCCAAGTATCTGTCTCAGGTAAGCTGTGCCCGGTGGCAGAGACTAAGAGCAGGAGCCTCTCCCCCAGGAGAGAGGCTGGAGCTCAGCAACAGGCTGTTTAGTGCATTAGAAGGGTCTTTCCAGAGCTGCTGCTCATTTAAAGAACCCAAAAGTTGGAGTCTGGGTGTTTGGTCAGAGACATCAGAGCTGGCCTCGCTCAACCAGAGTCCTGCCTCCACAGGACTGCTACGCAGTGGTCCGAGGAGGAGCAGAGGAGACCAAGGCCCTCCTGCAGAATCGCTTTGACCACATCTTCTACACAGGTAGGAGCCTGGGCCTGATCCTGATCCTGATCCCGGATCTGGGCCTCATCTTCGATCTGGGCCTGGATCTGGGTCCGGGTCTGATCTCGATCCTGGGCCGTGT